AGTCCACCCCTTTTCCTCCATCGCAGAGTGCACTGACTTGATTCAGGCCTACACGCAGGTTCCCGTGGTCTCTATTGTGCTCTGCAAATTTTTGTTGCAAACAGAGTAAATGGCCTGATTCAAAGCCTTCCGAATTGAATTGAAAACCTCCAGTGGGCTTTATTGGTTTTGGATCAAGACCAGAAGAAACAGATAAGGGCTGGACAAAATGTGCTAGGAAAAAATCCCTTTGGGAGCACATATATATGTCCGACTGCAGCCAATTCACTGTAATAATTTAAATAAATGATGCACAGCCTTCCATCCCGACAGCAAAGCACTCTACTCATTCTGCACTGCCTTTCTGGTAGCATGGGTAGGATAAAAAATAGGCATAAAATGCTACCAAACCTAGATGCACAGCTGAAACTCTGGTTAAGTATTATGCTGTATTACCTACAGGCTGAGAAACTGGTGTTGCTTTTAAGCACTGGTTCCAGCTCCAAGGTTTTAAAGATCATGATCCAAATCATCAAAACAACTTCACTTAGAAATCAGAAAATTAAAAAACTACAAACTTCTATTTTTGGGGTGTTTTGACTGTACATATTTAAGGGTCACATTTTGAAGGAAAGATATTTAAAATATCCGTATTCTGAGTTTTATGATTAAAAAACAGGGACAAGAGTTGCTTCTTCTGAACTTGCCTTGGATTCAAGATATTCTCTGCAGCCATGAGAGCTAGAAAACTGAGATTCTGATTGAGTCATGTGGCTCCAGGAGATGATGTACAAAAGCGAAATCCTAATTTCTTGATGTTACTTTTCTAGAAGCAACTTCTTTTTATTATGAAACTGAAATAATGAGGAAGATAACTTCCAGGTGTTTTGATTACTTGGAGAGGGGAGACGGGAAGCTAGAACTCTGTTGAGAGGACCTGTCTTCGAAATCAAGAAGGCACAGAAGTTATTTTATAATATATAAACTCTGCCAATTTGTTTAGTTTTTTAGGTTTTATCTACAGAACAAAGTTACTGTGTGATACACTACAGAATTTATTTAATTTACAGTGCTTATTTTGCAAGAAGACTCCTGTGAATGGTGGTACCATGTTTTAAGTAGGTCTTTAGTATGTTTAGCTTGGTATAGTTTGAAAATAATTTGTTTAGGCTTAGAAGAAAAAAAATATTTCAAAATAAGCTCATACCAAAGTTATCTGGCAATATTGACTTCATTCTCAGTCTGCATCCTGTCTTCACAGGAATCAGCTTTCAGGTACGGGGAAAGTATCATTTGAACTGTGCAGGTTGTTCTGTCTCTCTCCTTAATCTATTTTAAAAAGTATTCTAAAAAATTGTATACTCTATTTTGGGGGAGATGTATATGAAGACAAGGCCTTTGATGAAACTAGAAACAGCACTGAGTTGAAATGGAAGAGGCACTGATTCAAATACACCCCCTCCGAGCACACCTTAGCTCAGGCAGTGCTCCTCAATGCTCCTCAGAGCTTTTGATCTGTTGTTGCAGTTTGTAAAGTAAAAGAAAATCAGAGACATTTTGAGGAAGTTCGGACAAGACCATGGTTGGTTTTCAAGACTTTGCTTTAAAACAGTGTCTGATGCTGGGTAAACATTTTTTAGACAACATCCGTGGCTGTAGCCACCCAATCCAAATCATTGAGTTCACTGATAGTGACGTACTTCTCATTAGCTGAGCTATCATCTAGCTTAAACAAGTACCTTTTACTTTGTGATTAATGTGTGCAAAAAGTGGATACCTAGTTAATTACTATGTCTCAGATGAAAAGCAGCAACACATTAGTCCCTAGTAATTTAATTGCTTTCACTTGTGAATCCATTCCCATACTTAATTTTGTAAGTTATTTTATTGATTAAGGGGTGGGATTTGGGTTGGGCTTTTGGTGCACAATACCCTTCTCATGAGTACTGCATGTTATATCTTGCTATCTTTCCTTTGTTTCTTAATTCCCTCATCATTTGTGAACTATAGTAAAATAGATCTGGAAACTCCAAGGACATACACAAAAAAAGATCCTTTGAAAGTAAGAACTCTGCTTACTATCACCTGGAAATCTCTTTTCTCAAACCTTCCGTGATTTAGCCTGGGGCATAATTCACTGTACAGTCCTGAACAAGAAAATAAGCTTGAATCAGGTTTGATTCTAGTTTTTGCACCTGTTAGAACAAAAAAAACCATGGAAAAGAATAATATTGTCTTGCTTATTTGGCTCTAGAGGTACATCATTTAAGACATCATTGATGTAACTTCAGGAACTTCTCATCAGTGTATGACATTTCAGGTCTGATATCTCTATCACACTCAACTGAGCCAGGTTCATACCTGTGAGTGATGCGCAACAAATGAACACACAGGGACTCACACTAGAAATTAAATTAAATTGGAGGAAAAAAGAAGAAAAGAAGACTAAAAGGAGTTGATCACAATCCGTGCTTACTCTTTGCCAGGAGTCTAGGAGAATCCCTTCAGCTTCATCTCAGTCAGTGACTCCCCTCTACTTGTCCCACACCCTGCAGACAAATTGATCAATATATGTATTTTCACAAGGTTCCTTGTCCCATTTCCAGCTTGACAGTCAGTGAGGCTTAGGATCATGAGCTGCACTGGAAAAATTTAAGTCAGTATATGCAGAGTATTTAATAAATTACACCATTCTGAGCACTGGTATTAGTAGTGGAAGCTCCTTCCTAAGTCTGCTGGCTGGCACCTTGATTACTTGTTTTCATTTGTGGCCTCACCACAGAGTTGTTGTGTGTTCGTGAGTAAGCCAGTTCATCACTCTGCCTCCAAGTCTTTCAGCTGTAAGATGAGCTGTGGCTTCCTCACCACAAGACTTAATTAGGGCCCAGCAACACTTTGGTTAAAGCCAATGGCAAAGGAGGCTTTTCACCTCACTGAAGGTTAATATTAGGATCTTAATATCTGTGAGGCACTTTAAGAAACTCAGATGAAAGGTGAGGTAACGTAATAAGGAACAACAGCAACAAAAAAAATCACTGAATGCTGAACTTGCTGAGTTTGCATTCCACATGGCCTGTCTGTAGATGCATCACAATATAAAGAAGTAATTGCTTAACTTTTTCAGAATGGAGCTGTAGTGGGAAAAATAAATGCTAGGGAGATCTACTTTTTATACACAAAATATGTACAAGTATCAACTTTATGATCATCTTGTTACAGCTCTTAAAATGAGCCCTAGCACTAAGTTTCCACCTGGTTCCTGTCCCTTTTTTTTGCTTATCTTGCATGCACTTATTAAATCCCTCTCTGTGAACAGGCAAAATGCTAACCTAACACAGGGAGCTTCTCTCTGGTTTTGGGAGAACTGGGGATCTGCTGAGCAGCACCATTTCACAGCAAAGACCATTGTTTAGTAAATACTCTCAGGGACTCAGCAACCGTGCAGGAAGATACTGTTTTATTTGCAGCCTTATGGGTTTTAATTTTTTTCTTAATTTCACCTTACCTGCAATCTTTGTTAACAATCTCCAAAAAGCTTGGCTAATCAACAGCTGAGAGTAAATGAATAACTAGATGGACCCAAACCAGAAAAGCTGATTGAACTTGGAGGAAATTTTAATTTTAAGTGTATGTCTTGGATTGCTACCAGGAGCCCTTTAGAATGTCATTGTTCTTTGGGGGAAATTTGGATGTGGACAAAAAGACCATTAATAAAGGCTGTCAAAACATCTGTTAAAAATCTGCAAGTTACAAAACATGCATTAAAAAGATAATTAAATGTAGATGATACACTTTAAAAGTTTTCATTTTCTAGTTTGTAGGAATCTTCATGGGATAGGCTTAGGCCAGGTATACCACTGGAATTTTTAAGTTAAAAAAGGAGAAACCGAGATGAAGACCAACCATTTCCCCCATGTCCCTTCCCCAGTTCCTAGTTAGAGAGTACAGGAACAAGAAGTTTTCCCTCTCTGGACAGTGGAGGGGGAAAATGGCAGTTGTGGCTGAGGAGAAATAGTACGTTGCTGTTCTGCTCAACCAAGTGGAATGCAGAAGACCTCTGCCCTTCTCTTCTTCCTATGGGAACTGCCTCCTCCTCTGCTTAAGACTTAGGATGTGTCTGCTCCTTTCCAACTATTCCTATCTGGAAAGTAAGAATGTAATTTCCTTCTTTTTTTCTTGGCTAAAAGAGTTTTTATCTCTGCTGGCTGGGACAGCTGCCCCGGGCTGACTCTTTGTAGCTGGGTGCTGGGGTAGTCCTTGGACCTGTCACCCTCCATGCTCCTCCCAGTGGGTGTCCACTCTGCTGCAGGTAGCTTAGCCCTTGGGTGAAGCAACCACAAATGGCTTTGCCTGTGAATATTTATGGGCATTTGAAGCACCTTCCTAACTAAGGACACTGCCACTTAATCCCCCAAACAGTATGCAAGATAGATATTTGGGTACCTATCCTCCCATCTCCCAGCTGTTGGTTTCTGAATTTTAGGGAGTTTTTCCTTTCTGAATTTATAGCTTTACTTTTATGACTACTGTCTGAAAAAACAGACTTAGTTTACTGCAGCATAGGTCTGATTCTGCATTAGGGGTTGTTTCTATGCCTGTATGTGTTTTGAAGTCCCCAGACTGAACAGGGATTTCTGGCAGCGGGACCTTGTGAGGGACCAGCCCGACTGGCGTTATAAAGGAAACAGTGAAGTGCATTTCACAGAGTCACAGATAGGTAGGGTTTGGAAAGGACCTCTGGAGACCATCTAGTCCAACCCACCTGCCAAAGCAGGGTCACCTAGAGCAGGTTGCACAGGAATGCATCCAGGCAGGCTTTGAAAGCCTTTTCAGGCAAAATAGATACAACGTAAGGTGCACTTAAAATGGTGATTTATACAGTTCACTCTTTGTTCCGATTGACAATAGTTTTGTAAGACTGTGTCCTGCAAACTCACTGAGCTAACAACATATCAAGGAAATGGGGGAAATGTCCAAACTGAATGTTCTTTAAGTAAATCTGATTTCTAACCTGACTGCAGCCCAGAAAGGACCAGATGGGGTCATCATTCCCAATAACTACTGTGACTTCTGCCTCGGAGGCTCCAATATGAACAAAAAAAGTGGCCGGCCTGAGGAACTTGTATCGTGCTCAGACTGTGGGCGCTCTGGTAGGTGACTCCTTCTCACATCTTTCTTGTACAAAGGCATTTGTGTAATTTGGTTTTTGCTCCATCTGAAGATTTTGAAGAAAGGCAGCACATTTGGGAGGGGATAGAAGACAAAGTCTTGCCTCTTGTCTGTGTTTGTGGCAAAGAGTGACTGGGAAATTTTCTGTCATAAAACCCATTGTTGGATTCACAGTTTTAAGCTAATGGGGTCTTACAAAATAAAAAAGTTTTAATGTATTTATTGGCGGCTGTGAACATTGGTACATGTACTAGTTGTACTTCAAATGGAAGGAGAAAACCCTATGACAATGTTAAAGAATGGTCTCCATCTTCAAATGCTGCAATTACAACTATAAATTACTTACAAGATTTATGAAAGTTGCATGACAAGCATTTCCATTGATTACACATTTCATGCATTTCCTCATCCAAAAAAGAAAAAGGGAGGAAATTACAGGGTAGGGATGGGGGTAGCTGTCAAGAATTATCCTCTTACAAGATGACTATCATTAATTTTGTTTAAAGAAGGTTTTATTTCTCTGTTTTCTTCCCTTCTTTCTTTTTAAATGTAGGCAATTGTGTGTTTCCCATTCTGAGTTGTCTTTATTTCTGGACTGTTGTTTTCTTCCTTTTTTTTTTTCTTTACTTTTTTCTCTCTTTCTTTCTTCCCTTTTTTTTGGGAAATTTTATCCCAGCTGAGCAGTTATTTATAGCTCGTGTGGGAGATGGGAGATGATGGTGGTGGTAGAGGGAATGGGTGACCTTTAACAACTGCATATTCCAACTTTGGCCCAAGTTTCCAGTTGTGATATTTCTGGGCAGTGGTGATACTAGTGCTGATAAGACTCTCATATGGAAATCTGAACACCAAAGAGACCTTGAAATTCAGTGCTGCTGCTGCTCCTTCTCTACTGTAGTCACTGAAAGATGGCTGTTGCGTTGATGGCTGGAATGTGGTGTGGAGTGTTCTCGTGCCAAGGGAATGGCCCTTTTATGCTCCTGC